GTTGTTCAGCTGCCCCGCCAGTCCCCATGCCCTGCCTTCAGGAAGTGCAAATTCAAATATCTCAGTGTTCAGAGATGTCAATGTGTGATCTCCACATGTAGTATTTTAATAGCCACCCCCTGTCAGCACATTTGTTCTATGGGTCACCTTAAGTCACTTCTGCTTCCCTTTTCCCTTCTCTCTGACCCTTAGTGGAGATGAACAGCTGGCCATCTTCCTAATCATCCTCCTTCTCTTCAGTGTCAGAGCCCTTTAGGTAGCAGGACATCATTATTTTAGCCACCCTCTAGCCATTTCTTTCCCTGGCTGACTCATGTGCATCGCTTAAAGGTCTTCGTAGGTCTTGTTTTGACCTGTTAGTCCTCCTGGTGGCTTTTCTTTGAAATCCTCCCCCAAGTGCTTTCTCTCTCTTTTAAGCCTAGAAGGTCAGAATAAGAAGGATACTCTGGTAAGCATTTCCAGAGGAGCTGAGAATATAATCCTCTTAATGATTTTTAGGATAGAAGCATAAAGCAAACCACTGATAGTTGTGCCCTGACAGAAAAACAAATACATAAATCTGGGGGTTGCCCTCATTTCCCTTGACTATTATCCGTTTCTCGCTCAGAGCCAGCTTGTTATCCAGTAGGCTGTAGTAGGGAACCCTCTTTTCTTCCCTAATGCCCATACGAGAACACCCAATTATTGACTTGGCGCAGGACCACTCCGAATGTATTTCTGAGCCTCCCCCATGGCTCAGCATGACTCTGAGACCAAGTTCTGGCCATTGGAATGTTAATGGAAGTGTTGGATACAACTGATAAATATTTTTAAAGGGTAAGGGCATGCCGGCTTCCCCACTTTCTCCTCCCCACTCCCTAGAAAAAGAGATCAGATGGTAGAGATCAGGCAGCCTTCCCGGAGTGTGAGACCGCTAGGTAAGAGGGCGGAGCAGTGCCGACCCAGGTCCAGATAATCGTGTGTCCATTAGAGCAGCCTGGGCTGCCTACCTTCTGGCTTATTTATGTTAGAAAAATTAGTTTCTATTTTTCTAAACTGCTGGTTTGTGTGTGTGTGTGTGTGTGTGTGTGTGTGTGAGTATTTATTTATTTCATGCATCTAAACCTAATGCTAACAGATTCAGTGGTCCTCAGAATGTGTTTATATATATTCTGTTTTACTTGCATGGGATGCTGTAGAGAGGAAATACCAGCTGGTTGTGCTTTTTGAGCAGCTCAAGTATACCAAATGCTTATTATATACCAGATGTTTTTTATGCTGGTCTCATTTAATCCGGATATAAATTTATGATGTTACTATGATTTCCATTTTAAATGAGAGTAAACTGACACTCAGAGGTTAAGTATTCATGTTCAAGGTCACACATTTGGTTAATAGCGGATGCAGGATTTGAATCTGGACAGCTTGGCCCCAGAGCCCACCCTTTTTCTTTCTTTCGTTATTTTTTTTAAGAAGGGCGCAGCTCACAGTGGCCCATATGGGGATTGAACTGGCAACCTTGGTTTTATTAGCACCACGCTCCAACCAACTGAGCTAACCAGTCACCTCTGAGAACCCACCCTCTTGATAACTCTTTGAATGTTGATTCTGTTCCCCAAGGACCTACCAGAAAGGTGTTCATAGTAGCTACCATTTATTGAGTCCCTACTATGTGCAGGCACTGTGATGGTTCAGAAAGAAAATTCTAGAAAGGACGGAACTGGGCAGGAGAAGGGGCGTAAGCCAGGTAGCTGGGGGTCCAAATTGTGCTGTGGCCTTCACATGTTCTGAGCACTTTTCAGCGACGCTGTTTAGTGTAATTTTCTTCTGTTTCCACTGATGTATTTTGAAATTGTGATTGATGGATAAATTCTTTTTGAAGTTCAGTAATTCAGGACTCTTTTTTTGTACTTTTGTCTAAGTTATTCTCTTAAATTGCTTCCTCTGGACTTTTGCTTTATGTTGAGAATTTTTTATGATAAAAATCTGACTCATCCTATGCTTATAATAATTCTGGAAAATAGTTACCCTGAGGTACATCTTGTCTTGTCAACTCACACCCAAACTCATTATGAGACAAAAAAATATGAGGTATAATAAAAATATGGTAACTTGTCAAAGCTATTAACCTGCAAATACTTATACAAAGATTAAGGTACAAATAAAGTCAAATAGAAGATTCTTTTGTGTCACTTTTGTAAACTAACAGACTAACATTAGAAAATCGTCCCCTTTTATACAACCTATAAAAATTCCATACTCAATAAACACTATTGATTAAGTGGCCCATGAAAATAACTGTTCTTCTCATTTATTCTCCTTACTCTTTAGCTACTCTTGAACCGAGAAGACACTTCTCCATTTCCATTTTGAACAATTAGTAAGGTGAAGTTTCAGTCCAAAGTAAACTACCCTTTCCTGTGAAATTCTATTATGAATTTTTATGTTTTTATATGATTCTTGACTATCAACCTCACCATCCTTTTAATTGAATTTAATAGATGAAAACTCAGAACAGTATAAATTCAGCACATTATAACTTTGTACCAATATTGCAAATTAATTTTCTGAGCCATTTTTCCCCCTGTTGATGCACTGTAATGACACAGATAACACCAGCTGCAGGATATAAGAAATATTCTTCGTAGGGAAATTGGTTATGAAAATAATAGGACCATGAACTACTCAAGTAGTTCTTAAATACAGAAGCAATATAGTTTCTGTAGAACCATGCAGAACTATAAGAAATGATTTGACATAAAAGCAATTTAAAAAAAAACAAAATAGTTTTGATCACACACAAAAAACAAACAAACAAAACCCATAAACTACTCTATGGCAAAAATATGGCATTCAAAAAGAAACAGCAAACTACAAATTTGTAGGAATAAATACTTAAGACAAAAAAATAGAAGGTTCATAGAAATAACTTAAAAAGCCCCAGGCCACCAACAGAAACATGGGCAAAGACCACAGGTATATAATTCCCAAAAGAGGAAATGCAAATTGCTAACAAACATAAGAAAAGAACACAAAGATATGCAAATTAAAATGTACAGTGGTTTAAAATCTCATATTAAAAATATTTTAAAATAATACACTGTTGAAAAGCAGCAGTGGAAATAGACATTCTTGCTTTGTTCTTGATCTTGGGGGAAAGCATTCAGTCTGTCGCCATTAAGTATGATGTTAGTTGTACATTTTTCATAGATGCTCTTGGTTGCATTGAGGAAGCTCCTTTCTGTTCCTACATTCCCTTTTGTCTTTATTTTAACAATAATGCACAATGTTGGCAACAATGCACCAAGACAGACACTATAGTGTAAACTTGCACACTCTCTAAAAGTCAAGTTTGCAATATGTATCAAATATTGTATGCTAATACGTTTATTTCTATGTATCTGACTTAAGAAATTAATCTGATATTGGGTTAAAGATTTATTTACAAAGATATTCATCAGAATGTTATTGGTAATAGTGACAAATTGAAACTAACACAAAGTCAATATTAGGAGAATGGTTAAGATAATTATGCTCAAATATAAAAGAGAATAATATACAACCATTCGTTTCAATTCACAAAGCCCTTTTTACTGTCATGGGAAAATGCTTATTTAAAAAAAAAAGTACAGTAAATCAGACCTGGTCCAGACACTTGTTACAGAGTCAAGGAGGCGTGGTGAATGGATTTGAAGTGATAGGGCTCTGAGATCCTGATCAGGGACATGATGTGGGGACCAGAGATTAGAGTGAGGACTCAAATTAGGGTCACAAGTCCAGAACTCTGGGTTCAGTGGGAGAAGAGCTACAACAAAATAGAAGAAAAAGGGAAAAGGGAGAGTCAGCAGTGAGGACAGGCAGAACAGAGAGAAGACAAAAGACTACACTCCTTTAATATGGAAAACAAAATGTTCTCCTTCTGTAAGTCCACCCACCCCTCAGCACCAGTGTGAAACCCAGATTTCCAGAGCAGGTTCTATTTGCAGAGAAAAAAATTAAAAAGGACTGGAAGGAAATACACCAAAATGTTAACAGTGATTTTGTCTGAGAGGTGGATTATGGGTGAATCTAATCTCCATCTTTATGCCTTTGTATGTCTTCAAATGTTTATAATGGCAGAGAAGTGTTTTTAAGGATTTGTGACTTTAGGAAAGTAGTGCTTTCGTTCCATGTGCCAAGTTCAGAAACAAACCATAATGGAACAAGATAACTAAACTATGGAAAAGACTTCCAGATCTATCCTCTTAATCTCTAGGCCAACTACCAGTTGCTTTATAAATGAACTCCCCCTCCACCCCCAACCCCTTCCTTCCCCCGCTGCCCCCAATCCCTTCCCTCCCCCCTTCCCCAGGTGTTCTTTCCCAAGGCACTGAAATCACTTCTACTGAGTTGACAATGTCTCAAATATTTGTTTTCTTAAACAGTTGGTTCAGGTTTGGCAGTTGGTGGGTGATTTTTTTGTTTGTTTTGATAACTGCTGTTAACATATTCATTCATTTATTTCATTCATTCATTCCCTGTGTTCCCATTAGATGTTGAAGGTATTACACAGATGAAAAAATTATCTCCACATGTCTTATGTTCACATTTTTTATGTGGTATATACTCTAGGAGCAGTGCAAATGGAGCAAAGCAGTAGTTTTAACGAGCGAGAGAATATTTCTTCCTGAAGAGACCAGGACTGACTTCACAGAGCAAAAATGACATTTAGACTTTACCTTGAAGCACAAGGGGTTCCAACAGGTACAGATGGGAGGATGCCATAATCTCCCTGACGGAAGGAGCTATGTTTACCTTGTTCACTACCAATTCCCTAGCAATTAGGCTAAAATCAAGGAGGTGACAGGGCTGTATTTCTTTCTGGAGATTCTCGGAAGAGATTCATTTCCTTGCCTTTTCCAGCTCCAAGAGGCCACCCACATTCCTTGGCTGTGGCCCCTTCCTCCGTGTTCAAAGCCAGAATTGTAGCATCTCTCTGACCCTGCGTTCATCATCACATTTTGCTTCTTCCCTTCTGACAGAATGTGTGTTTTGGCCAGGGTGGCTCTCATCCCCCAGACAGCCTCATGCCTCAAGGGGAGCTGACCCCCAGCCCCAGCTCCCAGAGTGAGCCTGCCTCGTCCAGGTAAATCCCATACCTATACCCTTACCAGTGATTTCTTCAGGAATTCATGTGTGTCTGTTTCCTCCACTTAAATGTAAACTCCATCAGAATGTGGATGGTCATCTGTTTGCCAAGAGCCTACAACAGTGCCTGGCACATAGCTCTTACTTAATAGATATTTAATGAATTAAGTTTCTCATTCCTCTTTAGCAAACTTTAATTGAACACCTACTACATGTCAGGGACTCTTCTGAGGGATGGGGATGCAAAGACACATAAGACGCAAGAAGTCTAGCAGGGAAGACAGACATGTAAACAACTTCCTAACAATACCACTGTCATGGAGTTACACATAAAAGGTGCAGGGAGCACTGAAGGAGCCACCGGTTTCCCCTGCGGGACATAGGCCAGGCTCCCTAGCACTGACACTGAGCAGATTGTGGAAGATGAGCAGAGATTTGCCAGGTAAAGAATTAGGGCAAATCTGATATGATCACATAGCTTGTTGCCCAAACCAAGACACTTTGGAGAATGAAAGGGAGGCTGTTAATAATTACACCGAACGACTGGTGTAAACAGAGACTGGGCAAAACAGGCCACACGGTCATTCTTGGCAGAAGAGGGCAGAGGACAGTGGAAGCCCCTGGGCAAAGGCCAGGATTTCTGTGTGTTGGAATAAGGAGTGAGGCACAGCCGAAGGAGTGGCTGGGGCTGAGACTGGGGTGGGTGGGTGTGGGAGTGTGAGGGACCTATTCTGGCAATCAATGAACTTCAACTTGGTCCTCCAGCATTGAACACCTGTGGAGCTTTCTCAGCAGGAAGCACCAAGGCCGGATTTGCATTTGGGACAATAGCTTTGGCAGGCAGGTAGAGAAAGGACTGGAGGGGCATAGACCAGAGGACAGAGACCAGACAGGAGGTTGGTGCAGCAGCTCCATAGGAGATGATGGGCCCCTAATCTTAAGCAGTATGGAAGGATGGTTTCAGAAGGAAATACATACACCAGGTACCTTGATATGGAATTGACTGGGCTGCAGGGAGGGGCAGGAGATGAGAGAAAAAAAGAAATGGATGATGCTCAAGTTTCTAGAAAATGGATGATGGTGGCTTCTGCTCTCCTTTCCCATAGGGTGTGACAAGCAGAGAATGACTTCAGCTGCTTGGCGGACTCAGAGCTGACAGGCAGCAGATGCAGGAAGCTGACTCGTTTTTTTTTTGTTGTTTTTTTTTTAGCTGAGCCATCCTGCCACCTTTTGGCAGCTCAGCGGCAGCTCAGCTTGGGCTGGGCATTGAACCGCTGTTGCTCAGAGCTCAAACTCTTGAGCGAGCTCTTAACCAACTGAGCCACTCGGCCGGCCAGGAAGCTGACTCTTGAGGGAGGCGGGGAAGGAGAGGACATTCAACCAAGCCTTATGATGCCCTAATTCTTCACTTGAGACCCTCAAGTATTTCAGGGGCCAGCCACTACTAGAGAGCTTGATAAAATTTGACTTTCCCATATTCATTATTTTTGTTGTCTATTTCCTATTTCCCATGCAGTGATTAACAATAGAATTCTTAAAATAAATAAAAAACAACTCTGCTGCTTATGGATGGTGAAGGAGAGGAAGAAGAGGCTCTGGGGACCTTGTGTGCCAGGTGGTCAGGGGACGCAGCCCTGGGCTTGAGCTATGGAGAGACACGCATGCATTTCCCTGTTTCTTAGAAGGCCTTTAAAAGAAATTCTGGTGTAACCTGTCATTTGTGTATCCTCAAGGTTTGTACCAGAAAGCAGACATTTCTGCTCCTGTGCATAATTGTTAAAAAATAAATAAATAAATTTCATTGCACACCATGCCTGGTAGAATTGACTAGAAGGAATTGGGAAAGGCTAAAGCAAAGACAAACACCAAAAACCCCATAAAACAAAACACAAACTCTACAAAAAAAAACTCAGAAAGGTTAAGATGCAGAAGTGCCTAGGAAGAGGAGGGCTCTTCTATGCAGGGGAAAAGCCAGCGAGCGACAGGAGGTCTCTGTGAACAGGTGTTGCGCATCTGATCATGTGATCATGTGATCACGTGAGGGACTGTGAGCACCGCACCTCTTTTCTGTTTGGGCCTTGTGGATGGAGTGCCAGGGACAAGCCGGGAACATGAGAACAGAGAAGAATGTCTTATTTCTCTTCTTATTTCTCACTTCCTTCACAACTTCTTCCTTTTGACTAAGCAGGAAAAAGAACCCATGGATAGCCCTCTTGAAGCAGGCAAATAAAAGCTTGCTCTTTAATTCATGTGTAAAGAGACCATTGGCTCTGTTTACTAGGAGAGCCTGAGCCACTGAAGGCAGAAGATAAGAGCTCTGAGAGTCCGAAGTGTCAGAGTTCAAGTGCATGTTCTACTTAGGGAGAGAGAGACCAGAATTAAACTTGGCTCACACTGAGAAGTTACTTTTAAAAAGAAAACACTTTAGAATGTGCCTAGCAATTTAAAAGTATTGTCACATAAATGTCTTTTATTTCAGGTTTAAAAATATTCAATTTACCTAATTTTTCAAATAGTTAAACATTTGCAGGATTCAAAACTCAAAAAATATACAGTAAAAATTCTCTCTTCCGGGCCGGCCAAGTGGCATGTTGGTTAAGAGCTGGCTTGGGACGCCAGAGGGCCCCAGTTCGGATCCCACATACGCGGGCCAGTGACACTGCCCTCTACAGCTAAGATGCTGAACAACAGCTCAACTTGGAGCTGGGCTGCCTTGAGTCGCAGGCGACCGCGTAGGCTGCAGCCCCTGTGGCAGTGGGTTGCCATGGGCTACCGTGTGTAGCCAGCAGCCAGCGTGAGCTGACAGCAGCCACAGTGAGTGGCCATCCAGAAGCCGGCGACTGATCTGCCTCGCCCGGGAAGAGCACAATGATGGTGCCAACTTGGGCCAGTGAAGTAACGTCCTCCACAACTAGACTAAAGAACAAAAGGACAGCAACTTGTCTGTTCCCCTTCCCCTAATTCCCCAGCGCTGTTCCCATCCCCCAATTCCCCAATTAAAAAATCTTAAAAAAAAAAATTCTCTCTTCCATCTTGTCCCCAATTTACTCATTCCCATTTCCTTAACCCCAGGAAATCACCACTAACAGTTTCTTGTATATCTGACAGGAGTTTATGCAAAATATAGTTTGGAATTTTTGCTTTTGTTTAACATCACTGTGCTTGGCTATTTTAATAGAATATTGTTGTAAATGAAGAAGTGAAAGCCATGCCCTTTTCCCTTAACTGATGACACAGCTTGAATATTTCAGGAAAGCCCCAGGTGGTACGCTGCCCATCACTGGGTGCCTGAGGTAGGTAAATTAAGGTCAAGCGGCCAGGAAGCCTGGTGGGTGCTAAGATGCCAATTTGACAGTAAAATCACAAGTGAGAGCTAAATTTATCCCAAACATATGGTTAAATTCTTGTAAAGCATATAGAAAACCCACCCTGAAAAATTTTAGGAGTGGGTGATAGGGAGAGAGAAGGATGAAGGAAGAAGTTGTCTCTACAGGGAAAAACCTAAAAACACAATAAAGAAAATCAGAGTTATGATTGGGGAAGTTAGATACAGGTGCTGGAGACATTTTGGAGTTCAGAGGATGTTACTTTTTTTTTCTGATGAGCTTTCTCAAGAGCTGATCAAATGCTGAGATGAAAATGATCTGAGATGCAACAGAGTTAGGGCTTTAGGAACCTTCAAATTTATTGTGTTGATGTATGAGGTCTGACAATTAAGTTTGCAAACTCATCCTAGAGGAAGTGCTACATACCTCATTGTCTTTTTGTTTTTGTTTCTTTATGTGGGAGTCAAACCGGCAACCTTGCTATTAAGAGCACACGCTCTATCCACTGAGCCATTTGGGCGGCAGCTCAGCTCAAGGTGCTGAGTTCAGTCCCAACCAGGGGTAGGCGTAGCCCACCACTGAATAGGCAATCTTGTCATTAGGAGCATGTGCTCTCACCAGCTGAGCCATCCTGCCTCCTGTTGGCAGCTCACCTCGGGCTCAGTGTCACTGGCCCATGTGGGAATAGAACCAGCGACCCTGTTGCTCAGAGTTCACGCTCTTAAGCAAACTCTTAACTGAGCCACTCAGCTGGCCCTCATACCTCATTGTTGAATATCACTATGGTCACCTTCGAAGCACTCCCCTTGGGAAGCTATGCACCGATGCCAGTGCCTATTCTACCCTTCAAAGCAATTTTGGAACTGTTTTACTGGAATGACCATCAGAGCTGTCGTTGTATTTCCCTTGATGTCCAGAATGTCATCAAAATGTCTTCCTTTCAATATTTCCTTTATCTTCGGGTAAAGAAAGAAGTCATTGGGGGCCGGATCAGGTGAGTAGGGAGGGTGTTCCAATACAGTTATTTGTTTACTGGCTAAAAACTCTCTCACAGACAGTGCTGTGTGAGCTGGTGTATTGTTGTGATACAAAAGCTCCTTTGGGACCATTTCTGCACACACCTTTCTTATGCAAGATTTTCAGTTAAGATTTTCCTAACTGTTTCTCTGTTGATGTTTACTTGGTCTGCTATGCTTCTCACAGTCAGCCAACGATTTTGACTCACCAGCGAATTTTTGCAATGTTTTCATCAGTTCTGCGCTTTACTGGCCGCTCTGACCTCTTTTCATCAGTGACGCGTTGTTTCCCCTCAGAAAAACGTTTAATCCATTTGTACACTGCTGTTTTCTTCATGGCATTATCCTTATAAACTTGGACTAACATGTCCCTGATTTCATTTCCACGCTTGTCAAGTTAAAAAAAAATTTAATGCTTGTTCATTGCTCTAATTCAAGTTCAAATATTCTCGCGATGGCACACAAAAACACACAACAATAATGAACGCCACTCAGCAAGACAGCGCCACATGTCAACATGCACACAGCTGTGAGGCACTGATATACCGAGGTTATGAAACCCCACCAAGCTGTTTGTACAGTGCTGCCAATGTAAGTGCACGGTGGTGAGTTCGTGAACTTAATTGTCACACATCGTAAGTTGCTGATTGATTGCATGACCAGAATGGATCATGTTTGTGAGGTTGTCAGTGTGTGTTCTACACTTTATGGCTCTATCTCTCTTTGTCCTCTTTTCACAGAAAAAAGGGGTGGATAATGAAAGCATTGGAAAAGGTGTCTCCTCAAGTTAAGCTTAGCAACTGCTGAACTTTCTCTAAGCAGCTGGAATGCTTGCGTCATCCTCCCCAGCATCTGAGTAGTCTCTAGTCAGGCCCTGCTTAATGAGGAGCTAAGTACACAAAGAACATATCCTGGTTTCCTTCTGCACTCACCAGACATCAAGATTTTCTCCCCAGTTACAGGCCTGTTAGTTTGATGTCTTCTTGAAATTCTCTGCCATGTTTAGTTGCAACAAATTGCAGGATTGGGAATCCAAACTGATATTATGAACGAGGAAGAGGTTTTAAGGTAGACTGATTCTACCAGTTATTGTCGATGGATATGACAGTAGAGGTCCCAAAGACCATAATCTTTGCTGGTTGCACTGTGGGTCGTCTTGTCCCCTTAACATTCCACTCATGTCTACAATCTTTCTGCAACACACCCCATGCCTCAGCCTGAGACACATCCCACACTCTTTCAAGGTCCCTGCACACAACCTTTCCTCTGCCTGGAAGATCACTGCCTCCCCCATCCCCCACCAACACATACACACACTATTCATCCTATTCTTCCTGATTTGAAGCTGTCCTTAGCTTGTCCCTCTTGTAGGCAGAGCTAGTCCCACCCCCCTGGGAGCTGACAGCACTTGGTTCTTCATTTTCTCAGCTCATTTTCCATAAAAACCATCTGTCTACCCCAATGAACTGTGTGCTTCCTGAGGGTGAAAATTTTCTCTTATTCACAGTAGATGATCAACAGGTATTTGTTTTAATGAATAAACTCACATTTCAGTTTTAAATACAGTTTAACATGGCTGCGTCTTTGGTCTTCTTCTTTACAACCTAGATTTCAAGAATGACAGTTTTGGGGTATATCCGCTATATGCCATCCTGCCTAGACAATCAGTCACATATCTTGATTATACAGTTACATATCCTGTATACACATATCATACAGGTGACTCGACTTTGCTCATCTTAATTAGAAGTCAGTCTTGAAAAGTAAGTGGCTGGTCTGTTGATTCAAACCAACAAAATAACATCACTGTTGTGATTAACATCTACCTTTGGACAGCTGGATGATGTTAATTGATGTCACCAAGAATGTTGATTTAACTGTGAATGGGCAGGGTAGAGAAGGGGAGAGATCATGGGTTTTCCAGCGTGTCTGGGTGTGGGCCCTAGTTCTGCACTAGCTGGGGAGCGCCATGGTGACTGTGCTAAAATGAGCATGGAGTGATTGAGCTCCAAGGGCGTTGGAAGGGTTACATTAGAAAATGCATCTAAAGTACTAATTAGGTGCCTGGCACATAGCAGAGGCTCATTAAATCTGAGGGAGTAAACTGGCAGCCTGAGGGGCTGCATTTGCCCACCTTGATTTTTTTTTTTTTTTTTTAGCTGAGCCATCCTGCCACCTGTTGGCAGCTCATCAGCCCGTGCCGGGACTCGAACCACTGTGGCTCAGAGCTCACACTCTTGAGCGAGTTAACCAACTGAGCCACTCAGCTGACCCCCACCTTGACTTTTAAAATGTTGACTCTGAATGGACATTCAGAGCCCTCCAGTTTGTGTTGAGGGCCAGGCCCTATTCTAAACATGCTCCATGTTTTATCCTCGGAGGCAGCCATAAGCATTACCCTTATTTTCTAGATGAGGAAAGTGAGACAAGAAATATCTGAGTATGTTTTGTAGCTAAAATCTTCATGTGGGTCCCAAAGCAGGCAGTGCCTCTCAAGCTCATCCTACTAGTCACATGAGCTCGAGTAGCAGAGTTGATGCAAGTGTGGCCTCTGGAGCCAGGTTCGGATCCCAGTTCCCTCACTTACTAGTTGTGTAAACTTGTGCAGAAGAAAAACTTTCCGTTCTTCCCTTCTAGGTTCTTTGCCTGGTCTAATAAATTGACATAAGTTAGATTAATGGGAGAAAAACCAATTTAATTTGGTACATACAGGAGCTCTTAGAAATATGAGACTCAAAGAAGTGACCAAAGCAGGCAGCTTATAGACCTTTTAGACAAAGAAACAATACATGTGAAGAAGTGAGAAAACCAAGGGGTTTGGGCTTGGGGTAGCTATCAAGTGGAGAAGTAACAAGGTTTGTTTATATAGCCTCCTCGGCCTTGAATTCCCATCTCTGGTGATAAGGATGTCTCTCTACCTCCTGGTACAGGGAGGGTACCTTTCACAGGGAAGATTTATGTCCTACTTTCAGGGGGGTCACAGGAGGGTCAGAGTGTCTTTCTTGCACTGGCTGCAAATAACTTTAATTCGAAATAATCAATATGCCAAAGTGGTATATTTAGGGATGGCATATTCTGCTCCCATTCACTTGGGAAAGTTATCTCTGTGCCTCAGTTTCCTTATCTAGAAAATAGGGATAATAATAATAGCATCTACTTCCCTGTGTTGTTATGAAGATTTGATAAAATGCTAGGTGTAAAGATAAATCCTTGAGGGAGCTGGCCGAGTGGCTCGTTGGTTAAGAGTTGGTTTAGGAGCGTGAGCTCTGAGCAGCAGGGCCACCGGTTCGGATCCCACATGGGCCAGTGACGCTGCGCCTCTATAGCTAAGATGGTGAACAACAGCTCAACCTGGAGCTGGGCTGCAGTGAGCCGCTATGAGTGGCAGTCCAATGGCCGGTGACCGATCTGCCTCAGCCGGGAAGAGCGCAATGATAATACCAACATGGGCCAGTGAAGCGATGTCCTCCACAACTAGACTGAAGAACAAAAGGACAGCAACTTGTCTGTTCCCCTTCCCCAATTCCCCAACGCTGTTCCCTCCCCCAATTCCTCCAACAAAATCTTAAAAAAAAAAAAGATAAATCCTTGATAAGCACTACCTGTCATTATGGATGCCTTACACACTCTCTCTACCCCTTCCCACCACTTCCTTCCCCACTCCATCACAGGCAGCATTTCACACATTTATGTTAGCTGGTGCAAACCCAAATGCCTTCGGGGAGAAGAGAGGTGGCAGAAATATATAAAGTGACATGTGGTTAGTGGGACACAGGATGAGTAACAGAAGATATTGGCTTGCAAGGAACTGGACAGCACAGGATTGTGTAAAAGTATTCAAATGAAACAATGTTTTTTTCAATTAGCAATAATCGCGACTCAGATAAACCTCATTGGCTACGATACTGCCACTGCGCAAAGCTGAAACAATTTTTTTAAATGTGCTAACCAAATGGATTAAGCTTGTCTCTAGTTTGTTTACTTGCTTGGTCCCTGAGGTTATCTGGGTCTATTTTGTAGCTTACACTCCCAGAGAGGACCAACATAAGTCAGTTGCATACAAACTCATCTTTTTCTGGGCACAATGAAGCTCTCTGTAAAACTTATATAGCTGCAGGTAAAAACTGTGTTCTAAGCCCAGATGACCCTCTCCAAGCTCTGGGTGCAAAAGTGTGGTGTTTCAGCCAAATCTTATCTTCAACTGCATTACATATGGTAATGTAATGGTAAAAGCACCCAGGGCAGGACTAGCCCATAGAATCTCTATGTTTGTTCCTCTTCCATTAATCTTAGGCTGGAGAGACTAGGCATTGTGAGGTTCTGCAGTTAGGTGTTATGGTATCTCCTGCAAATTTAGATGGTTATAACATCAACACAGCACCACTCCAGATAATTCTATCAGAAGTTCATTTTAAAAACACCTTGTTCTTATAGAAAGTTATGTATAAAGCTGGTGGCATCTGTTCCTGTGACACTTTAGGATTCACGGACAAGAAGGCATGGTGGTGGGCAGCGTAGACAGAAATGGGGGCTCAAATTCTGGCACTTTAGACCTGTTTGCTGGAATAAGTGGGGAGGACAGGAAGACAGTAGACATTTATCCAAATAGTTGAGACAGGGTCCAGGGGCATGGAGGTCTAAGCAGGATGGAACACAGTAAAACAGAACTCAGGTGGGTGACACTTTCAAGTCTAGGCAGGAAACAGGAGGCAAGCCCCCACATACCTGAATGCCTGGTAGTAACAAACAAGGTCCTAGCCGCTGGCTTGGGTATCAGGCAAAGAGGGAGGGCCCCAGCTTCCATGGAGGCAGGTGCCTGGAGAACCAGGCCAGCTACTATGGGACTGAGCTGTATTCTATTTGCAATTTTTTTCCCCAAGCAAGTTTATAATGGAAATCACTACGGAAACAGCATTCATGCACCAGAAATCTATTTTTCAGCTAAATTTTTGTTTGAATGCTTTGTTTTGTTCTTTGAATGCTTTTTTGAATGAGGTAAAGCATATCTGATTTTAGAAGTTTGTCTGAATTCAGGTCCTCAGCCCCACTGAAAAGGGGATCCCAGAAAAGCACCCCATCACTGTATTTCACCAATCGAAAAAATCACGTTTTCTAATATAATTTATAAAGTTATTCTACTAACTGGAACTACTTTGTCAAATAGGAAGAAATAAAGCTGAGCTGCCTGACATGAACAGGGTGCAATGACCAATTTTATAAAAGCAGAAAAGAGGAACTATATCACTAGCAAACACTGTTTAAATATTTCTCACTGGGCATTTTTCCGCACTTGTGAGACTTCTTGTCTCGGTGACATCATTATCACTGCTGGGTTGAGATCTTCCCTATTTTGCAACTCAATTTTCTGAACGAATATATTTCGAAACTATATTTATAAACATATTCTAAATTTATGGCCAACAGGCAGGCAGGAAGGTAGCTTTGCCCTCCACTCCCCAGCCCCGAGTTCCCATTACTTACCTTTCTTCTTCATTCAAAGAGCTAAACATAGTTTCTTCTTTGCTTGCCTCTTTCACTTTTATTAATTATTTTTTCGCTAAGTTAGAGAGTTTTGACCCAGGTGATTCACTCGATATATATAAAAAGAAACAAACCACTTTACATTTTGGGAAGTGCTTGGGACGTTGGATAACCTGGGTTATTTTAACTGTACAGAAGCAAGTTTCCTGCCATCCCACTCAGAATTATCCAGATCACTGCCTCTATTATTCGTTTCAGCAGTGGGGAATAGCTGTCCCGTCGCTCTCGGTGGAGCCTGCGGGTCAGCCCCTTCCAGTATTTACATAGATTGCCTTCGCAGCAACACGCACCTCCTAGGGTAGCTCCTCGCAGCTAGGGTTCCGCCTGACGCGCAGGCCCTAGGACCGCGAGGGACGCGGCCAGGAGGCGGTGCCTGGCCGAGAGCCGCGCGGGGCCGACTCCCTAGTTCCCCAGAAGACACACCTCCCGCGGGAGAGGCGTGCGCGGGGCAGTGGGCGGAGCCGCGCGCAGGGCAGTCCAGGCGCGAAGAGTGGGCGGGGCTTCGCGTGGGGCGGTCCCGGCGCGCGGCGGGTGGGCGGGGCGCGCCGCTGGGCCCCGCAGCTGCGGGGCAGGCCGGGCATTAGGGCCTCAGAGGAGCCCGCTCTCCAGCGCGCTGGGCGGGGTGTGCGGCGGGTGGCTTCGCGGGCAGGCGCGGGCCCCGAGGCAGCGGCTGCGCCCTGCGCCGGGGAGGAGCCGGGGGCGGGCAGCCGGCAGGAGGGGGCTGGGGCCCGAGGCGGGGAGTGCCGGAGCGCCCGCGGCAACGACGGCAGTGGCGGCAGAGCAGGCTCCGTGAGTGGGTCCGCGGCGGCTCGGGGTTCACCCACGGGCTGTGGTGTGAGCGGGCGGCCGGGCTCCCTTCCTCCCCCGCCCGCTGCCGCCGCCGCCGCCGCCGCCGCTGTGATTGGGTGGAAGATGGCGCTGGGCGGATGGAAATCCTAATGACAGTCTCCAAATTCGCCTCCATCTGTACCATGGTAGGTGCGGCGGGAGGGCGGCCGGGGAGTCCCGGGATCCCTGGGGCGGGCGGGCGGCGCTGCCCTAGTCCCCGCCCCTCACCCCGGCGGTCCGCGGACCCTGGGCGTGGGGCGGCAGGCGGGCGGGGGCTATTGGACGCCGGCGGGCTTAGAGCGCGGGGATTAGCGGCCCCCCGGGAGGGGGAGGTGGCGGGTGACCAGCGAGGGGACACGGTGCTGGACGTGGCGGGGAGCGGGCACTGGTTTCCAGCGCCCCGGGGCTCAACTGCTGAAGTCTTCCCGCGGCACCGGGGCCGAGCGGCGGGGAGCACCCGGGCTGTGGGCGCGCGAGCTGGAGCGCGGCCCCGGCTAGGGTCGGAGGTGGAAGGACGCGGAGCGGCGCGCGCTGTTTCCGTCTGGCGGTGCGTGGAGCGGGGAGGTGGCCCTGGGCGCGGCTGGGGGTCCGCGGGCAGGAAGGCAGGGTCTCGTTCCTGCCCGGGAGAGGACGGAAGTCAAGTGTAGATTTCCTCCCCGCGCCTCGGGCGAGGCTGAGTCCCGCACCCGGTGCTCAGGGGAAGGGGGTGTGTATGAAGATGGAAACTTTAAATAAGTGCTGTGGAAAATTTCCCCATTTCTACTCTGAGAGGAACGAGCTCTCCTTTTTCCAACCATGTGTCCAGGTGGCAGTCTTGTCTTTGGGAATCCACGTTCATGTTGAAAACAGCTTAAGCTTTCCTGTCATTTGTTTACTTGATACAGCAGGCACATCTGTGTGTGGCCGTAAGTATTTTTTGTGCAGGGACTGACTGCGAGGGTTATTGTACGTGTTTTATCGGAGTTTTTAAATAGACTCTAAGGACAAAGTGCTAATGCCTGTTGAAAAGTCCCGAATGAGGCAAAACGTGGGTTCGTGTAAATCTGGGTGTTTTTGTGCTTGGCCAGAACCACAATTTTCCACACGACGGGGCAAATTCGTTTCACTAGCTCTTTATGAGCCTATATCTAGGGATCATAATTATGAGCCATCGCAGAAAAAGTTATTCTTTGCAACGTGGGCCTAGTGATCATGTTATTGAAGACTTCTGAAATCTTTCCTTCTGTTTTTTCTTAGTAGCCCTTTTTTATGCACCCGACTGCATATAGGAGGTTCCCAAGCCATCTTCCATTTAAGGGTGGTGCATTTTATATATCTTTTTTAAAGGAGAGGTGAATCAGATCCAAAAGGTACTCTAGAAGCAGATTCTACACCTGCATGTTGATGAACAGTGTAAAAAATGGCCGAAATCAGGTGGGATTAAAATCTTCAGGATTAAAGAAATCACATTGAATGAATCATTGGAGGATGCTTTTCTCGAAATAGATGACTCTTGTTTTCTCACAATTTATATTTTAGGAAGCATTGATATTAAAGGAACTGTATTGAAAGGATTTTCGAGGGTCATTTGGATTAATTGTTTTTAGATATGCCAGTTATTATCTTATCCTGTTTCAAAAGGAATGTGATAATTAAGTTTTTGAAAGTGATAATCTTGCCAGATTGCTGAGCTACACAGATTGTCAGGCCATAGTTCATTGTCAAAGTCTAGTGCTTTTGGAGTGATGTGTTATTTTTTACTAACCATTCATACACACAAGTATATCAGCTATACATTTGGCACCTACTAAGTGTTGGAGACTAAGTGCTGAGTGCTGGGGTTATAGCAGTGATCAAGATAGTCCCTGCTTTCATGGTGTTTACATTCTATTGGGTTGTCAGAAAAGTCATGACTCATTTTTGCAACGAAAAACAGAAAAAATACGTCATGACTTTTCCGACATCCCAATAGTTGAGGGAGACAATATTCAAATGAACATATTAATAAATAAATGCTATAATCAGATTAGGAAAATGAGACACAGAGACATTTGTCAAGTCAAACACCACTGATTCTGATCTCAAGAATGTCAGACTCCAAAGCTCTTTTTAGGGCTTCCACTCTGGGGCATTAATTGCATGTTTGGGTGTGTATGGTTGGCAAATACCGAAACACCAACCAGTGCCTGGCCAAATGAGATTGTTCCAAAAGTAGTGTTAAAATTGCACATATATTTAATTTGAATAAATTTTGATGTGCTCCCAAAGTAATGCAAATACCTGAAAGTAATCTGCAATGTTATTCTTTAAAGAAAATTAACCCACTTTCTGAGAATTACAAAATTGATAATCAAGAAAAGCAAAGATATTTACCTCTCTGCCTTTGTTGATGCTATTTTGCTAGGCTTTGAACACTCCCCCCTCACCTCTTGTCTATGGAGTTCATACCTATCTGTCAAGCAGATGGCCTAATTTGAATAATCCTTCCCTTGGTAATCCCTGTCCTCTGTCCTGCCTTCTCTAATTTCACTGCTTTTTGTAATCTCAATAGCCTTATATGTACTGTGTTGTAAATTTTTCTCTTGTCTGTGTTTTAGATTGTGAAAGCCTCAAGGGGAAGGACTACTATTTATTTCTGCCCTTTGGTGGAGCACTAACGTCTGCATACTATAAAACAGTTTCCCGAGTCCCTTATTTCCTACCAGTATCTGGGGGAAGTGAGTTTGGTTAAGCAAGGATGAAACTGGGTGGGTGTGTGGAGTGGTGGAGGGGCTGGACCTAAAGATAGTTCTCAGAATCAGTAGCTGTGAAAACGTTTATGATGAATTGAAATTTTTTTCCATAAACAGTAAAGTTTACATAATTTTTTCATTTGTTAACATAAGGTACCTGGACAAATTGGCAATACCAGGGTTAAGTAACTGTTAACAGCAAATATTCAGAGATTGATGTCTTATCCTATATCACTTTTGTTCTGCTACAAGTGAATGTTAGTAAAGTTTGTTTTTCCTAAGTTAGCCTGACCCAGATGAGTGATTGTTTAGATTGCAGTGAATAAATTTGCGAAGGTATCTCTAGAAATACCTCCTATTTGTCCATGAAAAAATACATTTTCAGTATCACACAGTGTTTGTTTTGCCTCTGAAGTGGCTTCTGACTTCAGGGTCTGGCACAGAGTAGGTACCTAATATTTAATATTATATTAATAGTTGTGAAATAATGGAAAAAGTGGCCGAAAACATACTTGTATAGAGAGACGTATGTTTTGAAGCTGAGATGGCAGTTATAGAGCAGGTTTTTGGTGGCGTAGGACCGGAGATATGGGTCATGGCTGTTGCACGGAGGCAAGTACGCCTGTAACAGGGCTCCATAAATGTTAGCTAGCGCCAACTGTGATAATTAGTCTCTTCCTAGGTGGGTTATAGGAGCCATGGTTAGGGGATTGGACAGGGGAGAGAAAGGCTGTTGCAGGGGAAGGTGATAGATCATATGGTGGCCCTGGCCTGGCTGCTACTTGCCCATCCCTAGTCACAGGGTGAGATAGATAGAACCAGGTGTCAGTGAGCCCAGGGCCACAAGTTAGCTGCCAGTGGGTCTGACAGGTTTACCTGAATGAACAAGCCTGTATCTAGCACAGCACCCTGCACATGGTAAACTTTCAGCTACTTAAGGGAGGAAAGTCACAGGTGAAGCTGGCTATTTGTCTTTTCTTACTGAGTGTCACTGGCATCAGTCACTCTTTAAGAGTTAGATGTGTGTCTTTCAAAGCATTCCAGAAAGAAAGGAAGTGGAGGAAACACCTCACAGCTCTTGCCTTGTTGAGGGTGGTGGTTTGATAGTCTCCTCTTCAAGTAGCCAGAATATTGTAAGTAATAAAATTCCTTGTTCTGGCTCAGGAAATAGGGTGGATGAAATTTTTTTTTTAACGTATGCACATTGTTTTTTCCTTTTCCATTGGGAAACAGTGTGTTTTTCCAGGACCCATCAGCTCCAAGTAGTTGTTTCATTCTGGTTGTGGAGGGCGCAACTCGGTAGCCCATGTGGGGATTGGACCAGCAACCTTGGTGTTATGAGCACTGCGCTCTAACCAACTGAGCTAATCGGCTGCACCTGGATGAAATTTTTGTATTAGTAAAATATTTAATTAATTCTTATTGATATTTTATTAGTAAAATAGTGCCTCCACGATAGCAACATTCAAAGTGAGTTGCCATTGTTTTACTAATTTTTGCTGTTTTTACTGAGAGTGTTATTATTATAAGAGGGATAATAATTTAAAAAATGAGGAGTCTTCTATCAGGGATAAATATGGGTTAAATACTGATAAGGAACGTGTAGCATGTATTTGAGGAGGTTTAGTGGAGAACATTTAGCATAAGTGTTATAAAGTTTTATTTAAACCTGCTGATCTTTTGAATTTGGTTAGAATACATTTTGGACATTAAAAATTACACATTCTTAGTGTAGAGAATTGGGAAAATAGTCTATAAAACAGAGTTTGGAAACTCTTAAAGCAAAAAGAAAATATTTTACCTCCCAGAGCGTATTTTGTCTTTTTAAAAAAAACTTAATTGAGCTTATACCCTAGATAAAATTTTACATTTCAGTTTGTCACCATGAATGATTTATTGTTTTGTTAGGTTTAAAATTTGTAAAATTTCAGGATAAGCATGGAGAGTTGAATGCTTTAAAATGATGATAATGGCAAGACTATTAATTCAGTAAGGCACAGTGATAGGTTGCTGGGTCCTTAACAGGTTATGATTATTAGAGGATAATGTTATATAGTTATAAGAGATGATGGGTTTATTCTAATATTAGGCATTTATTAGTTATCGCAAATAAAGGTAAGAACATTGGGATTTGAAACTTAATATGCTTAAAAAGTTTAGTTTTAAATACCATTTCACTTATGTGCAATGCGTATAAATCCTCTGGGCTTCTTTTATATCACATGACTTTGCTTACCTTCTGGTGGTTTTCTCTTGCCTCTGGCTAATCTTGTTATAATAGATCTCAAAGTAGGTTAATTATCTACCCTACCATGAACCACCATGCGGCCAGTTTCAGCCAGGCTTTATCACTTATCTTCTAGGCTTTTGACCAACCTCCCCTCCCCCATTGAGTCCACCTCTTTTTTGTCACAAGTTCTTTCTTCCTTAAAAGT